ATCCCCTTGTGCATCCCATCCCCTGCGCCCTCCATCCCCTTGTGCATCCCCCATCCCCTGCTCTGCGCCCCCCATCCCCTGCTCTGCACCCCCAGCCCTCTGCTCTGTGCATCCCATGCCCTGCTCTGCGCCCCCCATAACTTTGTGCACCCCCATCCCCGGCTGCCCGCCCGTCCCGCTGGAGACGCTGCCGTGGGGCGGCTGCCGGGGGCAGGAGGGAGCGGAGCACGCGCGGGGCCGGGGATCGGCGCGTGCAGCATCAGCACCCGGAGCAGCAGCGGCAGCAGGAGACGCGTCGGGCTGGGCTGCAGCGGGGGATGCGACGCGAGCCCCGGGCTGAGCTGCCGGCACCGAGCGCTCCCCGCCGCCCCCAGCATGGACACCCGCCTGCTCTGCCTCCTCCTCGCAGCCTGCGCGGCCGTCCTGCCGCTGGACCTCCGCCGCTGCCCGCCCCGTAAGTTCCGCGGCATCTGCCCGGCTCCGCAATGCGGGACGAGGCCCTGCTGCCCCCGCTCCCAGCCCCAAACAGCCGCCAGCTTCCCTGCCCTTCCCCGCTGGATAGACAGGGAAACTGAGGCACCGCGAGGGGAAGGGACTTTCCCAAGGTCACCTGGCCAGGTGGTGGCAAGGTCAGGGATAGACCCCAGGAGCCCTGCCCCCAAGCCCCCAAGCCCCAGGGCCCCTTCCCCCGCTGGGATCAATAGTTCTTGTGCCATGGATCCAGTCCAGCCTGGTGGGTGCAGAGCAGCTCCCCCTCCCACCCCCCACTGCAGCACCTGCCTGCCGCTCACTGCAGTCCTGAGACCAACAGCCAGAGACAACCTCGGCCCCAGCTCCCTCCCTGCAGCCCACCTGCCCGCCGGCAGCTGTGTGTGCAGAGCCCCTGCACCCTGTCCCCCTCCCCAAGCGACTTCTCCAGGGCTCCCTGGAGCAGCTGCTGCAAAAAACTTCCCCAGGAGCTGAGGGGCGTGGGGGTGCTTGGCTGGGGGTGCCCATGCAGAGCGATTTTGGCCCTGGCTGTGTGCAGGTGCCATGACCCTCTCTGTGCAGTGTGGAGCCTGCGTGCCTGGCTGGAGTGGGGCTGCTAGGGCCTCTCTTGTGAAAGAGGCTCCAAGAACAGGCCTTTGCTGTGGGTGGGGAGGGGGACGCTCAGGAATACCCCCCCCCCCAGGGCAGGATCCCGGGCCAGTCCCGGAGGAGACAGGACGGCCTCCTGGGGCTTGCAGTGTTCTAGGACTGGGCTGGCGTGTCCCTGATCTGCTGCCCCCAAGGGGAAATGGGCTAGGGCAAGGAAGCGGTTTCTCGGGCCCTCTAATGGTAAGGAGCGGGGATGGGGAGACTGGGGGAGCCTGCCCCACAATGGCCCTGGGATTTCTCCCCCTACAGGTGTCGCACACAGGTACATGTAGCCACTGGGCAGGGTCCTGGGGGTGTTGGCCTCATGCCAGGGCCCAGCCCAGCGCCCAGCCTAGGCAGGGAGTGAATCCAGAGGGGCTGGTCGGCCAGGGTCTCAGGAGAGGCAGGTGGTGCCCGGGGCCATGCTGGTGGGCAGAGGGGCTTCTTCTGCTCTGCTGCCCTGGGGGGAGGATGACCACACGGGCAGGTCAGTAATTGCTGATCTGGGACGGTTCTTTGGTCGCACGCTTAGCAAGCCTTGTTTGGGGTCTCTGGGGCATCCCGTCTGCTCAGGGAGAGAGCAGGGCTGGCCCCATCCCACCGGGAGAAGCAGGCGGTTCCCATGGCGCTGCCGGGATCCACCCTCTGGCACATGGGCCGGATTTTCTGACCTGTTCAGCAACTTGGCAAGGCGGCCGCAGGGTGCTGCAGCGGAGCACGTGGCCAGGTCTGGCCTCGGGTGCAGCTCTGGCACCTCAGCAGTAACCTGGTCTGGCTTGGGGCTGCAGGGCCCTTTGGGTTCCTCCCAGCTGCGTGGCTGTGCCAGTGCCGCCCACTCCCCCTCCCCCTCTGGGGCTGTGCTGAGAGGCTCTGCTGATGCCTGGGATGCCAGCAGGTGGTTGAGGACCCCAGGATTGCAGCTGGGGTGTGTGGGGGCCTAGCCCCTCTCCATCGGGGATGCCTGCTCTGCCATAGCCCAAGAGGCACTGGGGCCTCACTAGCCAGGTGTCCCCAGGGATAGGCACCCAGGGGTTGGGGTGCTGTGGGTGCCACAAGGGGGCTCTGCAGAGCCCAGTGGGGCTGGCTAGGGATGCGCCCCCAGGGCCCCCTCCCTGGGCTGGGGCAGTGACCTACCCCAGCTGCACTGGCTCCCCCCGGGCCTGTGTGACTCCCTGGGCTCAGCTGGGGCAAGGCACTGGCACTGAGCAGGGCTGGGTGCCTTAGTGAGGGGCTCTGGGGCCCTCTGATACCCTGGGGTGAGGGACGTGGTTCTTCTGGACTCCCAAAGAACAGCCCAGGGGGGGGGGGCTGAATGTGGAGCCTCAGTCTCTGCTGGGCACCACCCCCGAGCCTGTGCAGGGCCCTGGATCCTCATGGGTAACTCCCCCAGCTGCTCCCCCGCCTGCCTGTACCCCAGCCCAGCCTGTCCCCCCACCGAGAGAGGAGTGTGTAGCGGGGTCCCTCAAGTGCTGGAAAATGGGGGAGGTGAGCACAGCTCCTGCTGTCCCCCCATAGCCCCTCGCTCTGCTGCCATCAGCTGGGACGCAGGAGAGGGGGAGAAAGAGGCTCGCCTGGTGGGTGCCCCATGGGATCCAGCCAGCGCATCAGCCTGTGTGTGGAGCCAGCTGGGGCTGCCCCATCTGATACAGGGCAGGGGCTGCCTGGCCCCATCGGGAGCCTCCAAATGGAGATTTGCATAACCCCCTCCCCGTCCAGCCCTGGGCTCTCTCCTGCCAGCACCAGCGGCATCCCAGGCCCCACTAGCCTGAGGCTAGCGCTGGGGGATGGGAGTGTGTTGGGTGCCTGGCTGACACTGCAGGAACATGGGGCTTCCCTCCCTCCCCTGGCCAGGGGCTCCCCAGAGCCACATGCAGGCAGTCCTGTGGCTGGTGCGGGCAGCCGCTGAGCTGCAGGGCGTGTCAGCTCTCTGCAGTGGGAGGAAAAAGAGAGCGGGTGAGCAGAGGGAAGCTTTGCTGCTCCAGGGAGCCCAGCCAAGCCGAGCCACCCGGAGCCCTGTGTGGGGCAGACTCCCTGGCTGAGCCCAGGGGCCCCACGTGGGGCAGACCCTTCCTGATCAATTGTTGTGCAAGCAGCAGTGGTCAGTGTCTCTGGGGCAGGGCCCAAGGGCCACGCTGTCTAGCACCAAATGTCCCCAGTAGGCAGGCACCATCCTGCCCTGCCGGCTGCCCCGGGACCCCGGCCAGGGTCACTGCTCCCCACAGCTGGGCTTTGCCCTCCTGCATCTGGCTGGGTCCAGGTGCCTGGGAACAGCCGGCCTTTCTAGCTCACTGTGAAATCACTGGGAGAGCGTGGCAGGGGCAGCATTCCCCGAGGCCTCGCAGCCCCGAGGGCTCCAGGGTAGCAGCAGGGGCTCCGAGGAGGGATGCACAAATGCTGAGTAACCCATGCATGTACCCCCAGTTCCCTGTCTAGCAGATATCAGAGGGGTAGCCATGTTAGTCTGAATCTGTAAAAAGCAACAGAGGGTCCTGTGGCACCTTTAAGACTAACAGACGTATTGGGAGCATAAGCTTTCGTGGGTAAGAACCTCACTTCTTCAGATGCAAGTCATGGAAATTACTGTCTAGCAGATGACTCACTCACCAGTGCAGCGCCTCCTGCTGGTCATCCGGGAATTAGCTCAATTCCAGCTTCCGGAGCGCCTCCTGCTGGCTGGTGTCTCACCTGCCTCAGGCCTCATATCCCTCCCAGACCCCGATGCCCTTTACTCAGGGTTCTGCCCCAGCAGTACAACTCACGCTGGGTCTCCCCTCCCAGGGGAACTCCCAACCCGCTGCGGCCAGTCATCATCTAGCCCCCACTCCCTAGGGCAGACGGCAGTCTGTAATGGCCACGCATCACTGGCAGGGCGTAGAACCAGCTGCCTCTGCCCATCCCTGGGCTACACCTCTGCAGCCCCAGGCCTTAGGCTGGGGTTCCTCTTGCCTTTCCCCAGCTCTGCTCTGCATCAGGTACCCTCTGTTCCCAGACAGCCAGGCCCTTCTCCCTCCAAGACTGGAGAGAGACTCTGACCCAGCTCCTCCCTTAGCCCTTTTATCAGGGCCTGCTGTGGCCTGATTTGGTGTGGCCCCAGCTGTGGCTGCTTCCCCAATCAGCCCAGCCTTCCTCCCCGGAGTGGGGTAACTGCCCCACTACACCCTTCCTAGAGACACCCTGTCCCCTCGGGCCTCTAGCGCCTCCATCTCCAGGGCTTTGCAATGGGCCGTTCTGTGCTGGAGCCAGTCTGCCCTATGCCCCCCTGGCCCGGCTGGGCCTCTGGCTGGACTCTTGTGCTTGTGGGTGCTGCATGGGGGGGTGAAGGGGGTTGCATGTCATGACACAAGGACCAGAAGGGGTTGGGAATGCTGGTGAACTGGGGGGGAGAGGGGAGCTAGATGGATTGGGAGCCTCGCACAGGCTCAGCCCCCAGGTCCCACAGGGTCGGGGTGGGAGCCTGGCCCACCCTGCACACGCACTGGCTGTGCGGTCATAGGGGACACTGGGGGGAGCCATCGGGTTACCCTCTCCCGGCCAGGGTGGCATCTCAGCTACTCCCCTGCGATGGACAGCTGCTGGGGACGCAGAGACCGTGAGCTGTGGCCAGTGTCAAAGGAGTTAATGGGCCCCATTGGGTCCAGCCCTGCCCCCGGTGGCAGACGCTGAGGCCAAGGGCTGGCGTGGGCTGGGGGACAGGAGCGGAGGGGTCCCCCTGAAGGACCATGCCTTGTTGCTGCCCAGCCAGGGGGACAGTCTTAGTGGCCGCAGGGCTCCGGCAGCTCATTTGTCAGCTGGGGAGAAGCAGAAGGGCCGGGGCTGGAGCTAGGCCAGGCCGGCAACGTGGCTTTAACGCAGCCTCTTCCCTGCAGAGCACTGTTACGATGAGCTGGTCGCTCCCCTTTACTCCTCATCCATCGGTGCCTCCTCCCGCTACAGCATCTTCTACTCGTCCAGCTTCGCCCGGCTGCACAGTGAGTCCTGCCTGCCCGGGCCCGGGGAGAGCTGGGCCCAGGAGCCTGCCCCAGCCACTGGGCAATTGCTGGAGACCCACAAAGCAGTGGCCTGGCTGCACGTGGTGCTGGCGAAGGAGGGAGGGTCCCCAAATGCCCCAGAGCAGCGCCTGGGCAGAGTGGGGAGGTTAGTAGGGTTCCTATGGGATCCCCCTGTCAGTGATGCCCCGGGGTCCCCGTGGGGTGGGGCGAGGCCCTGGGGCAGCTCGGAGGGCGTTTACCCTGCTGCCCTTGGGCGGCTCTGGCCCCATTTCTGAGCTGAGCAGGGAGTGGAAAGGCCAGAGCCGCGGGTGGCACCGGGTCTAACCATGCCCTCCGGCACAGGCAGCAGTGGCTGGTCTCCAGACCCCAGCGACAAGCAGCCCTGGCTCCAGATCGACCTGATGCAGAAGCACAAGATCAATGCGGTGGCCACGCAGGGGACGTACAACACGTATGACTGGGTGACGCGTTACATCGTGCTGTACGGGGACCACCCCAGCAGCTGGAAGCCCTTCTTCCAGCTAGGGAGTAACTGGGTAAGGAGCCACTGCCACTACATCCGGGGGGCTCCCAGCAGTGCCAGCGCCTTGCCTGGCTCCTGAGCGCCCCCGTCTGCACACGGCTCTGAGGGCACGGGACAAAAGTCTATGAGATCGTGCCAGGCTAAAGGAGGGAGTGGGAGCTGCCCCACGACACAAGAACGAGAAGACAGTCGCTGACAGGGGGACATTCAAAACTGATCTAAGGGGAAACTCTCCCACCAATGGGGGGGGTGTCCTGTGGAACTCCACACCACAGGACGGTGGCGAGGCCAAGAAGTCAATAAGGCTCGAAGAGGGGCTGGCCAGTTCGATGGCTAGCAAGAGCATCCAGTCTGTGGTAACGAACGTGGGAGGGAGCGTCACTCCTCCTGCCCCAGGCTGATCGCTGACTCAGCTGATCTGAGAGACCAGGCCAAGAGCTAGCAGGGGGCGGATCACCCCAGCCCCGCCACTGTGGGGTTCTGACACCTTCCTCTGAGGGGCTGGGGCTGGGCCCTGTCAGAGAGAGGCCACTGGCCAAGCCAGGCCTCAGGTCGGCTACAGCCTAGGCCGGCCCGGGGGAGAGTGGTCCCCCCGGGTGGGAAGGGGCTGGTGGGGGGCGCAGTCACCCCACGCTGCGGGGGCTGTGTTGACGGGGCTGTTTCTCCGCCAGACGTTCTTTGGGAACGTGAACGAGAGCGGGGTGGTGCGCCACGACCTGCACTACCCCATCCTGGCTCGCTACATCCGCATCATCCCCCGGGCCTGGAACCCGCGAGGCAAGATCGGCCTGCGCCTGGGCCTGTACGGCTGCCCCTACCGTGAGTGAGCACCAGGCCGCCGGGGGAGCCACTGGCGCTAGCTGGGCCTGACGCTGCGGGGAGGGGGCTTGGGGGTTTCCTAGAGGGCATAAAGGCTCCGAGCAATGGGCCTGGCTTGGCTGGGCGCTGTGTGGCACAGAGCCCCGGGGCCTCAGGCCCTGTTCAGCCCATCGGGTGATTCGGAGCCCACACAGCTCCCCAGGAATTCAGCTCTGACCCCCCCCCCCAAGTCCTGCCCCAACACCCCACTGCCCCCAGCCCTCCCCACTGAGCCTGGAGACCTGTTCCCCTTCCTCCCACTGGCGCCCCCGAGGCTCCTGTCCCAGCTCTCCTCCGCCCCGACCCCTCCTCTCCTGCCCCACTCAAGACAGTTTCATTTTTTTTTAAATTTTGAAACGAATCTGGTGACCAAAACAGCCCTGGGGAGCTGTAGACAGGGGCTATCCCAGGGCCCCTCTTGTGCCCCAGGGTGGGCCTGCAGGCTTCTGACCTCAGTTTCCTTCCAAGTCCCCAAAATAATTCACCGTCACCAGTGTCTTCTAAACAATCTTCCCCCTCGCTTGGGGTCTAATCTACTCAGATCTATCAGCTCCCCTTTTGCTTCAGGGCTTCCCAGCCCTTCTGGGGAGCTGGGTGCCCCCAGTCCTGGCCCCCTGGCCTGGAGACTCTCCCTTGGCTTGAGGGTGCACAGCCCTCCTTCCTGGGGCTGGTCCAGGCCGAGCTCGCCTCTCTGCAGCTCTCTCCTTGACTGGGCTGAAGGCACCTGACCACCTTGACCCTGCCCAGGGGGGTCTAATCACCCCAAAACCAGCCATGGGAGCCTTGCCCCACCCCCTTTCCAAGGCTCCTGGGCCCCCAAAGGAACAATGGCCTGGATAACCCGGCCAGCGACTCATGAAACTGCAGTACAAACCTGAAACAATTAGAAAACCAAACGCCTTGTAGATGTTTGCAGACATCAGGCGTCCCCTGAGTCTGGCTCCCAGCAGGGAGGGTAGGGGCCAGGCAGAGGGGTGTGGGCAAGTTTGGCCAGTGCCCTGGGTGACGTTGGGTCTCGTCCCCCAGGGTCTGATGTGCTGTACTTCGACGGGGACGATGCCATTTCCTACCGCTTCCGCGGCAAAACTGTCCGCACTACCCAGGACATCTTTGCCTTCAACTTCAAGACGATGGAGCGGGAGGGGCTGCTGATGCACGGCGAGGGCTCCCAGGGGGACTACATCACCGTGGAGCTGAAACAGGCCCAGCTGGTGCTGCACATCAGCTTAGGTGAGTCTGGGACTGGCTGGGGCGCTGCGGGGCTGCTCAGTGCTAGGGAGGGGTCCTGGGGATGGTGGGGCTTGGACAGGGGATGGGGGTTAGAAGGGGCTGCACAGTATGGGAGGGGAGATTGACAGGGGCTGCTCTGTACTCTGGGGGGCATTGTTGGGGGTCGGGCAGTGGGATGGGGGTCAACAAGGGCTGGTCCGTACTGGAGTAGGACTGGGGCCATGGGGGTGAGCAGTGGGATGGGACTCGGCAGGGGCTGGCCTGTACTGGGGGGAGGATTGGGGCCATGGGGGTTGGGCTGTAGGATGGGGGTTGGCTGTGGCCAGTCCGTACCTCATAGGGGGGTTGTTGGGGGTGGGTGGCAGGAGGGGGGTTGGGATGACCCCTGAGCGGCACCGGGGAGGCTCGAGGCCCCTCCGGGTCAGTAGGGTGACTGGCCGGCCTCCCCAGGCAGCAGCCCGATGCACTCCAGTCAGGGACACACCACGGTGACAGTGGGCAGCCTCCTTGACGACCAACACTGGCACTCACTGCGCATTGACCGCCACGGTCACCACGTCAACCTGAGCCTGGACGGGGAGGTCAGACGCTTCCGCTGCAACGGGGACTTCCAGCAGCTGGACCTGGACACCGAGGTAGAGCCTGTCCCGTCCCAGCGGGGTCGGTGGGGGGCGGGGGCAGGACAGGGGGGCCTGCCTCTTGGGGCGGCCCAGCTGGACGCTGTGCTGGAGGGGACTGCCCAGCGCAGCTCTGCCCGGGCTCCCAGCCCTGAGGGGACAGAGGGGGCCCATCATGTTGCTGTGCTGAGAACCGCGGGCAGCGGGGCCCCGTGGGCTCAGGCTGCGCCCGTGTGATGTCCTCTGAGCTGGGACCAGGAGCTAAGCCAGCGGCAGATCACAACCAGGCCCCTCCCTGCCCCCTGTGGGGCTCTGCTCTGTGCTGGAGGGGGCTACCGGGGGATACCCCCGTCCCTGGGAGCCCAGAGAGACGCAGCCCAGCCCCACTGGTGCTGAGCTCCCTGCTGTTCTTCTCCCTGCCGGGCAGGGGGCATGTCCCATCCGCACTGGGCGAGCGGTGCCCCAGACCGCTGGGGCTCAGCCCAGTCCCGCTGACTCCCCACAGCTGTTCTTCGGCGGCGTGATCAGTCAAAAGAATCGGAGCCTGGTCTATCGACAGAACTTCCGGGGGTGCATGGAGAACATCTTCTTCAACAGGGTCAACATCATTGACCTGGCCCGCAGGAGAGCGTCCAACATCCGCTTCGAGGTGTGGGGCGCGGGCAGCCTGGGCGGGGTGGGGAACCCCAGGGAAAGGGAGTGGGTGTCCCTGGGGCGCAGGGGGAGTGCACATGGGGTCCCTTTGGCCTTGGCAGATCTGTCCCAGGCACGTTGTGCGGCAGGCAGCTCTGGCTGTCAGCGACCCGAGCCCGGCGTGGGGCTAGGATTGAAGCTGGCTACGGGCCAGGAACCGGCTGCTCCAGTGCTCACTCATCCAGCCTCAGATCGATAGTGCGAGGTCGTCCTGGGCCCGGGGCCATCGGCTGCTGTCACCAGGCGGCGGGTGCGAGCTCAGAGCGGGGGCCTCGGCTGCGGCTGCCTCATGGGTTTGGCTCTGGTGGCTTCAGGCTGGAGTTGAGCAGAGCTCTCTCTGCCTGGTTTGGATCTAGAGCTCACAGGAACACATGACACCAGCGGCAAGTAACACAGACAGTCACAGGAACAAGGTCCACTCTCTCTTATCAGTGTGATTAAAGGTACTAACACAGTGATGAGTGTCCCACAACTAGATCCATCCAGGCACCAGGGAGAGCTACAGCCACTCACATCCTCCTGACAGTGTTAGGGGCTGATGGGTCTCCTGGATTGATCATCAGGAGAGGGATGGTCCCTGCTGGATCCTCCCATAGGAAGCTCCTTTTTCCCCGCTCTGGGCACCTCCTTTTTGTAACGTGATTCTGCCTATACCTACGTTCTGCGCATGTACATGAAAGTGTCACCCCTCTTTTTCCTTATCGGTCTGGTGACCCTCAGACACTTAAGGCCCTCCGATTTCTATAGGTCGTGTAGGCTCTCTTTATTTCATTATCACAACTTGTATCCTGTGGTTAAGACACATGTTAGAGATAGATGTGCCTCTACACCATTTTTGTGATTTAAAGTTAATCTTCCAGCTAATTTTTTTCAGGATTACCCCTTGGAATCTCTTTGCCCATAATCTTAGGGCATCGGGTTATTCTTCGCTCACTCACTTCTGTCAGCATTTCTTAGCTCCAAGGCCTAAAATAGCTAAGCTAAAATCTTGCAGGCCTCAGCCTAAAGGTCTTGCATTTCAGCCTTTCTTACTTAGCTATCTAATACATGATTATTCCTTCTAAATACTGATCAATCTTATACTTCTATCATCCTACAACTTAACCCTCTTTAACATACGATTATCTATGTTAACACTATGACATGGTGTTAATCAGAACATCACACAATAAATGAATAATAAACTAAAATCACTGGCTACATCTCCCCTCCCCCTTGACAGGGTGAGTGTTATCTCACTATCAAGTGATAATAAGACAGTAAGAGCTCTGTCACGTACATATTACATGACACTATGCAGCAATGATTAATACAGTAATACACAGCAAACATCATTGATCTAATATTCAAAATCTTATCTGTAACTTACCTCTATACCTAAAGTTTCTATGTAATGTAACTCTAGACCCATGCCATCATTCTATACGTATTAGGGATTAGTTCTTCCTCTGTGGATCCTTTCAGGTGGTAGCTCTCTTACTCCTCTGCACTGTGGTACGTAATTATAATCATAGGGAGCTTCCGGACCTTGATGTGGGCTTATGTTACGCATGTCTTCATACGCATCCACATCCTCATCTACTTCTCTCATATTAGCCCTGGCTGCTGTGACAGTAATTGACAACAAGAGAAAGGAAACAGGCTGAATTACACAAGGCAGGGGTTTAACCCTTTCTGTACACATGGGTCTAAGTCTTCCTCCCACGTAACATAGGGTAAGGATGGTACACATAGTACATAGTCTAATAAGATCCCGATAATCAGGGTTACTAAGGATAATGGTTTCATTGTCAGAAGTGGGTATCAGAGACACCGTTGCGTGCCCAATCATTGTAGGCACTTGTGGTTTAACACAAAAATGTGGAGTTGTGACCACACATCTGCGATTGGTCACTACACAACACTGTCCTTCTCCAGGAAAGGCTATTCGCTCCATAGGAGATCTCCATTTGGTTAGTTGTAGGGTGACCAGGTGTCCTGATTTTTATAGGGACAGTCCCGATTTTTGGGTCTTTTTCTTATATAGGCTCCTATTTAAACCCCCTCCCACACACACACACACCCTCTGTCCCGATTTTTCACATTTGCTGTCTGGTCTCCCTAGTTAGTTGTATCTTGGACATGAAATCTGGGTTGCATTCGCTGCCAGTAAATCCCATTGGTACATTTCCAGCTGACCACATAGAGGAGTTATTACCTCTAATTACCATAACTGATTTGCTTTTTGATTCTCAAAATCATGGGAGCACCCATGGAGTCAGTGCCTATGACAACAAGGAAATGCAGAAATGGTACTTGGTTAATTAATACTCCTGGGATAGGGGTAGCTGTGCGACCACTGACAGGGCCTTCTTGCAACTCAGGGCATTGCACTGAATTCTGTGACTCACGGTCTTTTCCCACTAGCATTGCCTGCACCTCTACTTCGAGTATTTATTGATAACTTTTGTTCTATCCAAAAAACTAATTTGGATACAGGCTTCGTTGTTTAGGTTACATATGGTCCTTGCTCCATTTCTTACTGGGCTTTGTCACTTGGTTCTGTTTTTCCATGATCCATAAGGAATTCCATCACTTATTGGCCAAGAGTCACTTCCACCCAACTTGACACTCTCCCCCCGCTAGATTCCGCCAATCTACAAAAGGCTGAAAATTCATTTTCTTCTGTATCATATGCAAGAACAATTTGTTCCCCTCCTATTCCTTTAATGTTTTGGTAAAATTTGTTATGAGTAGTTGGACCAAGTAGTGACAGCCTAATTTTTCTGGCAGATAATGCACATACCTTCGTCCACGTCTCTGGACCTACAGTGGAAAATCGTTCCATAATACACATTTTCGCCATCTTTCAATACTAGACGTAATCCCAATCTATACAGACCTGACATGATTTGGTACCTTATGTATTGTCAAAGTTGTACTATTAGTCCATGAGGGAAACAAAATTTTATCCCAAGTCTTAAATATAAATTGTCCTTGTTCTGGTTGATAATCCCATTCGAAGAACATTTCAGCTAAAAGGCATGGTATCGCATCCTGGCCTTGATCTGGGTTCATTCTTTCTCGCACCCAAATCACTGTTACCTGTCCAGCCTTAGCCTCAATAGGCAAGTCTGAGTCCAGTCCCAGTACAACAGCCTGATCTACTGCAGTGATCGGTGTCTCTTATGGCTAAACAGTCTGTGACATAAGAACATAAGATCGGCCAGACTGGGTCAGACCAAAGGTCCATCTAGCCCAGTGTCCTGTCTTCTGACAGTGGCCAATGCCAGGTTCCCCAAAGGGAATGAACAGAACAGGGAATCATCAAGTGACCCATCCCCTGTCGCCCATTCCCAGCTTCTGGCAAACAGTTTGAAAGGCAGCATTCAAGCAGAAGTACAGGATTAGTGTTGTTACACCCCACATTTTTTTTCTTTTCCTGTGCCCGGGCTGACTCTCACTGGCTCTTGGGTTACACGCTTTTGCAGTCAATGGCTTGGCTTCCTCTGCCTGTGGAGAAATCTCTCTTTTCCGGTACAATTTCAACTGATTCGCATGATAGAATTGATCTAATTTTCTGCTCCCATGTGAGATTCTAATTTTGTATACAGCAGCACTGAGTCTATCCACATTTGGCCCAGTCCATCGGCTACATAAATTGTGTTCAGGTGCAGCATATGATAGGAGCATTGCTTGGGAAACTGGAGACCCAAGTTTTCTCTCTTTGGCTTTTATCAAAATAGGCTTTTGCCTTCCGTCTGGATTTCCCCAGTCTGATAGCTACCTGCAAGTGAATCTGATTCCAATGTTTTTGTAATGCTTGCAGAAAGGTTTCGACTTTCACTCCCTCTTGCTGTGAGCCACTGGCATGCCACAAAAGATGCTCTGGCATTCGCCTAGTCATCACCTCAAAGGGTTTATGGTCTGTGGAGGCAGCGGGAGTTGCCCTGAGTGACATTAAAATGAGTGGAATCAGGGTGTCCGAATTGCGTCCATTGGCATCTACCAGTTTCCACGGCATGAGTTTGATGGTGCGATTTGTTCGTTCTGCCATCCCTGGTGACTGAGGCCTGTATGGAAGGTGCCGTTTTTGTTGCACTCCCAACAACTGTAAACATTTTTGGAACACTTGCCCAATAACGTGTTCCTCTGTCTGACTGTTCCCTAGCAGGGAGTCGCCAGCGAGAGGAGACTTGTTCCACTAAGATCTTTGCTGTAGCTAAGGCAGTGTTTGCTTTCAAAGGAAATGCTGCCACCATTTGGAGACCGGAGCAGAGGGCATTGGTTTCCTCTTTGAGCCTTCTGCAAGGGTCCCACAAAAGCAATTTGCAAACCTTGTCATGGACACTCTTAAGGGAGCATTTCTTTTTGTGGGGATAGGATTGTTCTGTGCACAGACCAAACAATTTTCACTGTATTGTTGCACATTTGCCTTCGTGCACAGCCACCAACCCACTGAGGTGAGGCGCTGCATGGTTCTGTCTACCCCTGGATGTCCTCCTGAGGGTGTGTCATGCACCAGGTAGATCATTTCCCTGCAAGCTGGGATGGGACTACCCACACTGGGAAACGCTCTCCAAGGTACATCAATACACCCTCTTCTATGTACAACTCTGATTTGTACTTTTGATATGGGGAACCTTGTGATAATGAAATCCGGGTTCCTTGTTTGTCCTCTGATTTTGATCCCAGAGAGCCCCAGGGCAGGGCCCACGTGAATGGGCCTGGGCTGTAAGTGCCCCACTCCTGCCCCGGGCATCAAGAGGGGAAGCGGCAGTGCCAGGGGGCTGGATGGAGCTGGGCACTCACCAGCTCTCATGTGGTTATTCCCAGGGCCACGTCAGCCACTACTGCCGGGATCAGCTCTACATGCCCATCACCTTTGCTGGCATCAACAACTACCTGGAAGTCCCAGGCATCCCGCGCCGGAACCGCCTGTCCGTCAGCTTCAAGTTCCGCTCCTGGGACACGGTGGGGCTGCTGCTCTACACCAGCTTCGCCGAGCACCTGGGCTCCCTGGAGATGGTACTGAGCAACGGCCAGGTCAACGTCTCCATTGCCCAGCCCGGCCGCAAGAAGCTGGAATTCGCTGCAGGTTCATAGCGTCCCGGGCTGGTCTGACCTGCTGCCCTGACCCTCAACCCCTGACCCCACCCTGACCCTCACCCTGACCCTAACCGAGCTGGTCTGACCTGCTGCCCTAACCCTGACCCCTAACTCCTGACCCCGACCCCCACCCTACCCCCGACCCTCACCCCAACCCTAATGCTTCCTGGGCTGGTCTGACCTGCTGCCCAGCGCAGCCCATGGGACCCCCGCCCCTTAGCTCCCAGAGCAAGGCTTGGATTGGAAATGGCCAGTGCTAGAGACCTCGTTCCAATGGTTAATTACTCGCACGTTAACACACCTTTGAGTTTGTCTAGCCTCCGCTTCCAGCCATGGCCCTATGTCGGACCATCCTCTGCTAGACTGAAAAGCCTGTTCCCAGATATCAGTTCCCCATCTCGGCACTTACAGGCTGGGATCCCGACCCCCCTTCCCCTTCACTTTGTTACATGACCAAAGAGGGGGCTGGGGGAGGAGGGGCTGGGGAGATGGCAGCCCCATGGCCACCTGCTGGGGGTCTCGGGCCCCAGCATTGAATTGTCCCGCCAAGGGGGTGCAGGAGGTGATGGGAACCAGCCGCCTGTGGGCCCACTTGCCCCCCCCTCTGCCCCCATGCAGGGTACCGGCTGAACGACGGCTTCTGGCACATGGTGGAGCTGGTGGCGCGGGACGGCTCGGCCGTGATCACCATCGACGACAACGACGGGGCCGAGTTCCGGGTGACCCACCCCTTCCAGCTGCGCACCGGGACCCAGTACTTCTTTGGAGGTGGGCGGCCCGGGCCGGGGTGGGGTGGGGGCAGGCTGGGGGGCAGGCGGCAGGCAGCACTCACCCCACCCCGCCCCCGTGTGTGTTCCAGGCTGCCCCAAACCCGCCGCCATCACCGGCTGCCTCTCGAACCAAACAACCTTCCACGGCTGCCTGCAGAGCATCAGCGTTGACGCCCAGCCTGTGGAGCTGGACCTGCTGAGGCAGGAGCGGCTAGGGAAACACTCCAACGTGTTCTTCAACATGTGCAGCATCGCCGACAGGTACGTGCCTGCCGGCCGGCCGGCCGCTGCCTGACCCGCGCCAGGAGCTGGGCTGTGTCTGCGCCGGGGGGCTGCCCCAGAGCAAACCGTGGGGGAGGGGCATGGGCTTGTCCTCGGTGCCTAGGGCTGGGCCTGCAGGGACCTGAGATCGAGGCTTTGCCCAGTCAGCTGTCAGCCCCCCCCATTTCTGCTTTGTTCAGAGTGAGCTGGTCGGGGCAGGGACTGCGTCCGCGCAGTGCCCGGCCTGTCGGGGGCCTCGATCTCCGCAGCTCGACGCACCGTTTGCCCTGGGGTGGAGTGATCAGGTTTGAGGCAGGGTCTGGCTGCGCTGGGACAGAGGGCGGGTTTGCCTGGGCAGCTCTGCCGATGGCTGGAGTCACGGCCGGATAGCGGCACGCCCTGCTCACCCCGGCGTCCATGCGCCCGGCCGTCCTCAGCTGCATCTGTCCCCGCCAGGTGCACCCCCAATCTGTGCGAGCATGGCGGCCGCTGCCTGCAGTCCTGGGATGACTTCACCTGCGTCTGCAACCTGACGGGATACAAGGGAGAGACCTGCCACAAATGTGAGCTCCGGCCCAGCCAGGGGGACGGGGGGCTGAGGGCGGGTTCCCGGCCCCAGCTGCCACGCCCAGCGCAGCTCACTAGTCTCATCCCAGCCTCCTGCTTTGCCTGTTCCAGCCCTTTACAAAGAGTCGTGTGACGCGTATCGGCTCAGTGGGAAAACATCTGGGAACTTCACCATCGACCCTGATGGCAGCGGGCCCCTCAAACCCTTCACCGTCTACTGCGACATCCGAGGTAGCCGGGTGGGGAAGGAGAGATGCCAAAGGGTCTGGCAGGGCTTGGGAATTGGGGCCTTTCCCCTCTAGGGGGTGCCGGCTCTGACCCAGCCCCAGGGCAGGGACTGGCTGGCTCAGGGGGGCAGGGAATGGGGCACAGGGCTTTTCCCCTCTAGGGGGCGCCAGCTTTGACCCAGCCCCAGGCAGTGGTGACCGGAAGCCGACCCCACATGCAGCACCTGTGTGATGGGGTTCCTGGAGGGCCGGTGACGGTGTCCATTCCAGAACCGGGCCCGAGAGCGACTGCCCCCGGCCCTGCCTGCAGAGGGGCCCTCAGGGCGGCCAGGGCTGAGGCCCATTGGTAGGGAAGGGGATTGGACCTTGTCATGGTGCCCGGGCTGCCCCCATTTCCCCCCGCCCCCAAGTGATGCTGGAGAGAGCTGGAGGGAGGGGCTGGGCAAAGGGACTCCCAGGCTGTTCCCTCGCTGACTCCATCCTTTCTCCTTGTGCGTCAGCCTCAGAGGATCGGGCCTGGACCATCGTCCGGCACAACCGGTACTACGCCACGCGGGTGAGGGGCTCCAGTTTGGACCGGCCCTTCCTGGGCACGGTGGAGTACTGGAACGCCTCGTGGGCGGAGGTGGAGGCCCTGGCCAACGGCTCCGAGTACTGCGAGCAGCACCTGGAGTTCTCCTGCTACAGCTCCCGCCTGCTCAACACACCCTGTGAGTGCCTCGGGGCGCTGCCCTGCCCCTGGCGGGGAGGGAAATGGGGGGCTCTGCCCCGCCCCAGCAATGGGATTAATGGGGGGGGTGCTGGGGGGTAACTGCCCTGCCCCAGCAGTGGGGGAGGGGAGGGTCATGGGGTGAGTCTCATGGTCCCTGCCCACCCCCTCTGCGCCTCCTGTCTGGGCAGGTGCAGTCTGGCCCCCTGGGCTGCTCTCCGTCTGGTTGCACAGGTTGATGCTCCCTCAGGACGGGGCTCGCTCCCCCAGCCCCTTAGCCCAGCTCAGCCCCCCCGCCCCCGGCCTCACCCACGGCTCGGTCCCCTCCCCCAGATGGGCCGCCCTTCAGCTTCTGGATGGGCCGCCACAACCAGCGCCATTACTACTGGGGGGGCTCCCCGCCGGGCGTCCAGCGCTGCGCCTGCGGCCTGGACAAGAACTGCGCCGACCCCAAGCACTTCTGCAACTGCGACGCCGACCACGCCCAGTGGTGAGCCCCTGGGGGGCTGGAGCATGGGCTGGCTCTGAGGCACACGTGGGGAGCGGTGCAGGGCGGTGGTGAGGTGCCTGGGGATGGGGTGGCTGAGGTGATGGGGTGGAGTGGGGCAGCGCAGAGTCGGGGTGGGGTCGGGAGGGGGTTGGTTGGAATGGGGCAGCGCAGGGTGCCAGAGGGACGGGGGGTGAGTAGGCAGCGTAGTGAGGGGCAGCTGAGTGGGGGCAGAGTAGGGTGGGGCAGTGGGGGACGGAGCAGGGTGGGGTAGTGGGGAGCGAGGCAGTGGGGAGCAGAGAGTGCGGGGCATCCAGCTGGGGGTGGGGAAGGAGGGCAGGGGCATGGAACAGGCGGGGGGGCTCCTGTCCCTCTCTGACCCCGGCTCTTTCGCCCCCGGCTCCGGCTCTAGGAGGACGGACAAGGGGCTGCTGAACTTCGTGGACCACCTGCCCGTCACCCAGGTCGTGGTGGGAGACACCAACCGCTCCCACTCCGAGGGCCAGTTCCTGCTGGGGCCGCTGCGTTGCTATGGAGACCGTGAGTGCCCTGCTGGGTGGGGGGCACAGCCAGGGCCCTTGCAGGGTCCCTCTGTCCTGCAGGGGAGGGGCTGGGCCTGGGTCTCACCCTGCCCTGGTCTCTTTCAGGGAACACCTGGAACACCGTCTCCTTCAACAAAGGCGCCTCCCTCGTGTTCCCCACCTTCCTGGCCAACCACAGCCTGGACATTTCCTTCTACTTCCGAACCACCGCCCTGTCCGGGGTCTTCCTGGAGAACGGGGGCTGCAGGAACTACATCCGCATCGAGCTCAACAGTAGGGGCTGGGCGCGGGGCCGGGGAGTCGCAGACGGGATCTTCCAGAACTTGGCTGGAGGGGGGGGGGGGGGGGGGGCAGGATTGAGGGGCACCGGCAGAGCCATCGCAGGGTGACCGGCAGGGGCCAGGGCTGGGACTGCAGGGGCTGCAGGTCGGGAGTGAGGGGCACCGGCAGAGCCGTCGGAGGGTGATGGGGGCGGGGGCTGCGGGGCAGGATTGAGGGGCACCGGCAGAGCCGTCGGAGGGTGACTGGCAGGAGCCAGGGCTGGGACTGCAGGGGTTGTGGGTGGGACTCCGGGGGGCTCAGGGGGTGGATGCTGCTGGCAGGGAGCCCCCGAGAGTTGACCTCCCCTGCTTCCCCAGCCACCAGAGACGTGGTGTTTGCGTACGACATTGGGAACGGGGACGAGAACCTGACGGTGAGATCCCCCGTCCCCTTCAGCGATGACGAGTGGCACCAGGTGAAGGCCGAGATCAACGTGAAGCTGGCGCGCCTGCGGGTGGACAAGCTGCCCTGGGTGGTGCGGCTGGCCCCACCCCAGAGCTACGTCCGGCTGGAGTTCGACAGGCCCCTCTACGTGGGTGAGTGAAGGGCAGAACCTGTGGCCCCCGGGGCTGCTCCCAGCGCCCGGCTCAGGCCCCTCCCCAGCCCAACAGCAAATACGGGATGCTCCAGCTCCTCCCCTTAGAGAACCCAGGAGTCCTGCAGCTGGCACGGCAGGTTTAGAGCCAGGCTAAGGGCCTCCCTGGGCTGCATTGCTCCTTAGCCAACAGGTGGGGTGTCCTGGCTTTCAAAGGTGCTCTGCTCAGACCTGTAACCAGCCCTGGCCCAGGGCCCCAGTAGTGTGCCAGGCCCTTGCCCCCCTTTCTGCAAGGGGGAGCCCTGCAGCTGCAAGAGGGGCCCTCGGGCTCCCCCACCGCCCAGCAGAGCCCCTCACCCCATCCGATCCCTCAGCCTCCTCTCCCTGGGGCTGTGGCACCTTCCCTCAGTCAGTGCCAGGCCTGTCGGAGTGCAGCAGCCCAGCCTCCCCCTCGGCCCCTGGCCCAGGGGAGACAGTGACCCAGGTGCCCGGGGGGAGCGGTGCATCGCCAGAGGGGAACCAGAGTTGCTGGGCTCTTCAGACAAGAATTACCCCTGGGGGCAGGGTGCCAACCACCCAGCTCTGCACACCGCGGACTCCTAGCATCCCCCCGTGAACCTCCTTTCATTCCCCCCAGGTTCTGTGCCCCCTTTCCACCCTCCTCTCTTATCATGGGCCCACCCTCCCTTCTCCTCGCGTTGTCCCCCCCTGTGTGGGGGCTCTCTGGGTGTCCCCCCCCAGCAAGGTTCCCCCTTCTCCCCCTCCTGCCAGGGGCTCTGGGTGTCTCCTTTTTCTCTCCCCAAAGTACCTTGCTCTCTGGTTTGGAAGCAACAGGCACAGTAGGCAGTGAGTAATGGGGCGGGGCCAGGTGGGGCGGGGCTGAGCCTGGCCTCACCTCCTGGCCGAGCACAGGCCTGGGGCAGGGGATTGCTAGGGGTTATCCGGGTGGCACTCAGCTGTTTGTGGTTGTGTTTGATTTGATCCCCAGAGAGCTGCCAGGTGCCTGACCCTGCGGCTGTGCCCGGCAGCTGGCAGAGGCTCCATGCATCCCCCTGTGGCCCCCTTTTCCCAGAATCCCCCAGGTTCTGCCCGTTCCAATGGAGAACTGCTCAGCTGCGGCGTTCAAACGTTACCACGGTACAGACAGAAACACAAGCCAGCCCCAGGGCCCACGCTCCCCTCAGCACTTCTTCAGTCTCAGTGCAGCACTGGCTAGTGGTGAGAGCCGGGGGTTGGGAGCCAGGACTCCCGGGGTCTCTCCCCAGCTCTGTGACGTTGGGCACGTCCCTCCGTTGCTGAATGCCTCAGTTTCCCCATCAGGTGAGAATCGGGGCCTCTCCTGAGGGCTGGGGTGTTCCCAGGCACTGAGCCCTGAGCAGGGCTAGTGAAGGATGAAGGTCGGTTTCCCCGGGGGAGTCGGTGCTTTGGGGCTCTGCCGATCCTCCCTCAGGGTCGACCACCCAACCCAGCCTGGCAGTGCAGGCCTTGCCGTGGTGGGGGCAGCCAGGCCTGACGCTCTCTGTCCCCCGGGCCAGGCTCGGCCGAGCACCGGCTGCGCCCCTTCCTGGGCTGCCTGCGGGCGCTGCGCATGAACGGGCGGACGCTGAACCTGGAGGGCAAGGCCAACGAGACGGAGGGCGTGCGGGTGAACTGCACCGGCTACTGCCAGGACCCGCGGGTGCCCTGCCAGAACAGCGGGCTCTGCGTGGAGCGCTACAGCCACTACACCTGCAACTGCAGCCTCTCCGCCTTCGACGGGCCCTTCTGCAACCGCGGTGAGTGGCGCTGCGCCGCCCGGGGCACGGCCGCCCGGCCAGAGGCGGGGTGAGGGGCGTGGCACGTGGGAGCACGGCCGCCCGGCCAGAGGCGAGGTGAGGGGCATGGCACATGGGGGCACGGCCGCCCGGCCAGAGGCGGGGTGAGGGGCGTGGCACGTGGGGACACGGCCGCCCGCCCAGAGGCGGGGTGAGGGGCACGGCCGCCCAAGGGCAGGGCCGCCTGGCCAGAGGCGGGGTGAGGGGCAGGGCGGGGAGCCTGGGGCATGGCCGCCCGGCCAGAGGCGGGGTGAGGGGCGTGGCACGTGGGGGCACGGCCGCCCGCCCAGAGGCGGGGTGAGGGGCACGGCCGCCCAAGGGCAGGGCCGCCTGGCCAGAGGCGGGGTGAGGGGCAGGGCGGGGAGCCTGGGGCACGGCCGCCTGGCCAGAGGCCGGGGTGAGAGGCGGGGCACCCGGGGGCAGGGCCCCCCACCCAGAGGCCTGGGTGAATGGAGCTGTATCAAGGCTCCTGTGTCACAGCCCCAGAGGTCCAGCGTGGGACAGGCTTTGCTGTTCCCATGTCAGGTGTGATCCCTTGGGGCGTGGGGGGGCCCCAGAGGCTCAGGGAGCAGGGCAGGATGCTGGGGTACAAGGGGGGGTTGTGGGGCACATAGTTGCCACCCACCTCAGGCCAGGCCGCCTCACTCCCTCTGTGCCCCCCATGCAGACATCGGCGCCTACTTCGAGCCCGGCACCTGGGTTCGCTACAACATCCTGCCGGCCGAGCTCTTGGCCGCCCGCGAGTTCGCCAGCATCAGGAGCCAGCCGCTGCCGGGCTACAACCTGACCAGCGAGGAGCTCAGCTTCAGCTTCCGCACCGGCACCGCGCCCGCCGTCCTGCTCTACGTCAGCTCCTTCCGCAGGGACTACGTGGCCGTGCTCATCCGCGAGGACGGTGAGATCCCGGGGACCTCAGGCCGGAGCCAGGGGCCCTCCCCACCCTGCCCGCCTGGGGCC